AAGCGCTACCAAGCCCCCCCCCCCTTCGCGCAGCCTTCCTCGGCTTACCTTGCCCAGCTGGCTCCGGCCACCCCAGCGGGGCTCTCCTGGCTCGTTCTCCTCTGCTCTGCTCTGCAGTTTCTGGGGTTGTCTCTCTACGTGATGGGGACTTGTGCCTCTCCCCCTCCCCCGACACACACACGCACAGAGGAAGACACAAGGCGAGGGAGCCCCGCACGCTCAGCACCACTTCGCCATGCGCCACAACGCAGGCAGGGAGAGACTCCAGCGGCCAAGAGCAGCCAGCCAGCCAGCCAGGCACACACCCGCGCCGCGGCGTGCACACCAGCAGAGGGGAGAGTCCGGCCGACGACCGTGTGCCACACGCGCCGAGACGCTCCGGAGAGACCCCCGGGCGCGCGAACGGGCATCTGACAACCGTGCCAGGCAGGGCTCACACACGCCTGTCTGAACGCGAGGCACCGCAGCGAGTCACATCGAGAGCCCGTTCACACGTGCCGCGGGAACCGCGCGGGTGGACAAACCCCAGGCGAGGAGAGAGACGGGCCCCATGCCCCGCTTGGCACACACGCCCGCTCGCAGCTCCGTCCGCTTTGGTCCCGATGTCGCCGTTCACACGGCCGGCCCCAGCGATTCGAGAGCTGCCTTGGCAGAGACACACAGAGAACCCCCTCTCTGCTCAGACCCAGAACTCTCCCAGTTTCGCATCCCAGCCTCCCTCCCCACGATCTCCCTTGCATACATTAAAAGAAGAAGACATGCTTGGGGGGGGGGGAGAGAAATCCTATGCAGAAACGGATCCCCCCCCCGCGATGTCTGCTCCACTCCCCGCCCCCGCCAGCTGGGAAACCGGGGTCACCGTACCTTCGTCCGATCGGAGGTGTCCCTGGTGCAGTCGGCCAAAAGACGTACCAGATAAGGGAGGGGGGGACCCTCAAATACCCCCGGCGGCTTCCTTGAAACGAGATGCCTTGACGAGGAGCTGGAGAGCCTGTCGCGTCATCCTGAGCTGGAACGCGGGAGGTTTCGGAGACACCCCCCCCTCCCTCCCCAAGAGGCAGCGGTGCTCAGGTATTGCAGGGGGGGAGAAAGAAAGAGCGCTTCTGACCTAGGCGACTAGCCCATCGCGTTCCCAAAGGGGGCATCTTCCCCAGCAGGAAGGAAGTCTCCTCTGCTCTCCGCATCGCCGCTCAGCACCAGGGGGAAGGAGGAGGGGGAGGAGAGCTGGGGAGGGGGGGAGCGCGCGCGCGAATCCTCCCTTCCCCCCATCCTCCAGAATTTAACTCCCTTTGCAATAACCCTGGGGGTAGCAACTACCGAGCCAGCTATTCATTGGGAGCGGCAGCAGCAGAAGCAGCCGCGTTTCCCTCCTCCTAAAGAATCACTTTCTATCTCCTCTCTCCTCTCCCGCCCCCCCCCCGCCTTAAAACAAGAAAGGGATTATTTTTGCAAGGTGGATTTTCTTATAATC